TAGGGTTTAGGGTTGTTTAGGGTTTAGGGTTGTTTAGGGTTTAGGGTGGGTTCACAAAGCTGGAAAAAGTTTGGTTTGGGTATTTTACCGGAAATATACAGTAGAGAATGGACACACTTGATTGTAAAACGTTATTAACGGCACCTAGAATTGTATTTGCTAAAACATCGGGGAAAATGAGAAAATAACCAAAGGCCCGAAGAAGTTATGAAGAAAAAGAATGGACTGCGCTGAAATGAGTAAATTGATCTTTGAAATTAGAGAACGAGAAGACAAACAATATTACAAGATGTGGGGTTTATTTCACCAATGGTTAGATAAAAAAATATGAATAAAATGAAATATTTTAGAGAATTTTACAAGATAAGGATAGTAGAATTATAGAGAATATAACATAAGGATGTATTATTATTGGATGGATTTATGATGAGGAAATGAATGTTATAATATAAAATAATCTAAAAGATAGATAGATAGATAGATAGAGATAGAAAGACATAAATGATAGATATAGCTAGATATAGAGATAGATAAAGATCGATGATAGATATAGATGATAGATAGATAAAGATGATAGATAGATAGATAGGTATAGATAGATAGATATAGAGATAGAGATAGATGATAGAGATATAGATGATAGATATAGGTTATAGATAGATATCGATGATTGATAGATATAGATCGATGATAGATAGATATAGATGATAGTTAGAGAGAGAGGGAGACCCTAGAAGCCAAGAGGAACAAACGTGCCAAATTTCAAGTTTGTAAGCTTTACGGTTCTGGAGATTTTGTGATGATGCGTGAGGGGTATTTCCCTTTTTATATATATATATATATAGAAAGATGAGAGAAGGAGGGAGAGAAGGAAGGAAGGTGGGCAGGGCCTTATGTTGAGGATAACAAAGCCCATAATGCACCTCTCCCAAAAGTGACCAAGTGGGGTCGGCATACTCACGGAGCTGTAGAGGTAGCCCTCGGCGTTCATGGCGACATATTGTCCGGACGTGGTACTCTGTATGGCGACTACTCGGAGCCCCACAGGAATCAGGTTGAAGAAGGCTGTAGGGCGGGGAGAGAAGGAGGGGAAGGGGTCGGTGGGTGAAATTCGAACCCATAACCAGGTGCAAGTGAATTTAATTTAATTCAGGTGACCGGCCCCCATTTCATCAAGTGACTCGGGGGTGGGGGCGGGGAGGGAGGGAGGACACAACATTTCAAAGGTAACAATTCCCAATAGGGGTTGTCCTCAACTTACGACCGCCACCTAGCTCAATCGTGTCTAAGCAAGGTAGACGTTTTGACTCAGTCTTTTGTCTACCCCGTGGCTAAGCGATCTGCCGCAAGTCGTTCAGGGAGAGTTTGCCGGTCGTTTATAAGTGAACTGAGGCTTCCCCATGGACCCGGGGGCCTCGTTGGACAGTCGTAAAAAAAGGGGGTCGCATGATTTTCACACAGACACACACACACACACACACCACCCTGCCCCCAGGGAGGCCGCGACTGTCATCAATCCGAGTCACTGGCCGGAGCTTCCGATTTTTGAACCTGTGACTGCGGGGACAGTGCCAGTGCCATTGAACTTAGAACGGTTGCTAAACGAATGGTTGTTAAGTGAAGGACTGCCTTGCCGTGTCATTTCGTCTACCCTTCTTTCTGGTCTCATGTATTCCAGCGGCGGTCAAAAAAAAGTCAAGATGGCAGCCAGGAAGCCGGAGGGAGAAATCGTTTTGATGGGCATCCCAGGTTTGCAACCGTCCGGGGAGGGCAGGAGGGGCTGCCATCTTGACTTTTTTGACCTCCTGGAGATGGGGAGGGAGGGAGGGGCAGGTGAGGAGACCCATCCTGAGGAGGGGGAGGGGGGAGGGAGGCATCTCCCAGGTGTGCCCTATGGCCCGGGGGGGGGGGGGGGGCGGCGGGGAAGAGAACCGCTTGTGGGTGGCGAGGCAGCTGCAAAAAGCGGGACAGGATCAGGCTGTCCGGGACGGGCCACGTGCTTAAACAGACACCGGCCTGCTAGACGGGACTGGCAGAGATCATCCATCACGGCCGCGCATCCTCTTCCTTTCCTCCCTCTGGGGAGGGAGAGAGAGGGGGGGACACAGAAAGCGACCCAAAAGCCTGCAGACTAGGAAGGGGCAGGGTCTTCGGAGTAAGGCTGGGGGTCCCCCCATCCTTCCACTGGCCAGAGGACCGTGGGAGCAGAGCAACAAAGCTAAAAGGGACCTTACAGGTCATCTAGTCCAACCCCCCCCCCAAGGGGGCTCGGAGGAAAGAAGTCGTGGGGGGGGTGGGAAGCAGGGACCCCGCGAGAGAAAGCTGGGAGGGAGAGACCCTCGGGTGGGGTGAGGGGGAGAGGCCGCGCTTACTGAACCCGCTGCCGTCCTCCCGTGTGCCCTCGA